TGAGGAGTTATTCAAAATTTGTATAGAGCTTTAAAAGAAATATCTATACACATTCCCTGCAGTTAATGAAGTCATTAAAAAAAATGTCAAAGCCAAATAAAAAAAAAAGAAAAATAAAAAGAATTCTGGGGTAAAAACGGATAAATTCTTAAAGCAGATATATTTTCAATGCTGTATATATAGGAAACATGAAATTTTATAGCGAAAGAAAACTTAATAAGATTTTATCCTTCCACAAACCCCAACAGGAATTAATTGGGTGTATTTATTAATGTTCCTACAATACGAAAAGCAATTTCGCTCTTAATCTCCAGTTCTTAGGATTTGGAAAAAAGTAATTTTATCCCAAATAGCATATTGATTTTAAAAGTAATATTTTAAAATAATTATTTAAATATAAATAAATATCAGTTATTTTACTTTAAAATTACTTTTGTATTAAAATTACTAAGATTCTGAATACTAAGTAAATTACAAATTAAATTTACATATTTTTTTCCTAGTAATATTTTAAAATCAAAATTATTTTTTAAATTAATAATAAAGTAATTTTTTTTAACTAATGGCAAAAATCGATGGAAAAAATCACCTCAAAATTGCTAAAAAATTACTTTTAATTCTTATTTAAAACTTTTTGTTTATAATTTCTATAAATTGAAAAAAGAAAATAGTTTACAAAAATTATATGAGAAATTATAAATAAAAAAAAATCTGAATAATTTTTCCCCTTCTTTTACTTTTATAATTATTTCATTAAAACTATAATTTCAATTATTAAATTTCTAGTTAAATTCTCCACTAAAGCGAAATAATTCAAAGTTTCAAAATCTCAAACTTTGTATATACGTTTCATGTTTATTAACATCTCAAACTATGATTAGTTTTAATTAGAAAGTTTTAAATTCAAAATAATTCATTATGTTGATAATTTCTAGTGTTACAACTTTTAAGAACTCAATATAACAATATTCCTTTATAAAATTGTATAATTATTAAAAGCGAATTTTCCCACGCATAAAATAATTTTTTTTTCATCTATAGAATATTGCAATTCAAATAAAATTTCTATAATTGAATAGATTTTTCATATTTGCAAAATTTTCTATATTTAAATATAAATTTATTTTATTGTCAGATATTTTGTATTTTTTATTTTTAATAATAAATTACAAATTTCTACTATAAATTTTAACGAATTATTATAAAATATTTATTAAATTAAAATAAACAAAATTTTAATTGAATTTTTATTTATAGTGCTTATTTTTATATCGCAAATTTTCAAATTCCCGCCAAAAATATATCGAACGTTTCTTCAGTTCAATGCGGGTTCAATTATTGTGCAATTTGTAAAATTTAGTATTAAAAATTTTAGTGAATAGTAATTTTTAGCATAAAAGTTAATAAAATGATGTTGAAAATAGTTAACAATAACTAATTTTTAGTAAAAATTTGACTATAACATTTACGTTTAACCTTATCAGTTAGTAAAAAATAATTAAGTTTTAGTAAAAAAAGTAATTTTTAATAAAAAATATCTAATTTTTAGTAAACAAAACTAATTTTTAGTAAAAAATAGATAATTTTTAATAAACAAAACTAATTTTTAGTAAAAAAATAACTAATTTTTAGTGAATAATAACTAACAGTTTAGTAAAAGAAGATTAAAACTAAAAAGATACGTATTTGGACTAATTAAATTAGTTACAATTTTTAGTTGTAACATAAAACCTACAAACAAATTTATCCAATAATTAGTTGTTTTTTAATAAAAAATTACTAGAAAAAAATTAAGAATTTTTGTAAAAAAAATTAGTTATTATTATTTATCTAAATTTAAAATTATAGGGTACGAAACGAAGTGTGGAATAATTTTTATTTTTATACTTTCGCAATCAGTATACTGATCATTTTTTTAAAAACAGTAAATAATTATTTTTTACTATAGTAAAAAATAATTATTAATTACTTTTAAAAAGAAATTAATTAATGAAAACACTATAGTAAAAAATAATTATTTACTTTTTTCTAGAAAAAATAATTTACTTTCAAATAAATTAGGTTTAAAAAAATGAGTCATTTCTAATTAATTCAGATTTTTATAACGTAAGTTAGATTTAGATTATAAGTTGAAAAAACCTTGGAAAAAATTGTATAAACACGAGAAATTTTCCAAATAAGAAAACATAAAGGACAGTATGAAAAAGTGAATGATGAATGTTTAAAAGGGGTCAATTTTGCATTATTCCTGGTAGTCGAGGGTGAACGGCATGAAATCGATTGACAAGACCTAAAAACAAAGCCGATCGATCGGAAACGCTCGAGATTTTTATATAACTAAAAAAAAAGAAAAAGAAAAAAAAAGCATAATCTCGAATTTTTACATTTCACTTGATAAAGAAATCGAAAGAAAGCTAAGAGAAGAGAAGAAGGAAAGGGGAAAAAGGGGGAGGATTCGTGACACGTGACAATTACTCCGAGGATAATATATAATCGACCAGTGGCACGTATCAGATATACACAAAATTAGCACACAAGTAAAAGAAAAAAATAAAACACAAAGAAGAAAAGAAAAAAATTTATAAAATTTAAGAAATTTATTAATTTTATAAAATTTATGAAATTTGTAAAATTTATAAAATTTATGAACTTTATAAAATTTATAAAATTTATAAAATTTGGAAATTTATGAAATGTACGTAATGTAAGAAAAATTAACCTTGAGTCGAATGACAATAATCACAGTTTGGAATTTCTTGAATTCCCGGTTAATGGCCGAGGAAAAGGAAAATGTCAAACGAAAGATAGAACACACAACACAACTGCATCAGTCAATCGTTGATCTCGCGCATTGTAACAAAGAATTCATATGTGGAGGACATAGTTGCGAGGGAATGTTTTGTTTTTTTTCCTCTCTTTTTTGGGGGGGGTTTGTTGAGTGTGTATGTGAGACCTCGCGCAATAACAGTTTGTGAACAACTGTTTTATCAGACGACCGCACATACATACTGAACACTACCCCCTAAAAAAGAAATCACTCGGCTCACTTAAGCGCAGTGTGCAATGGGAATTTTGAAAATGGTGGGGGGGTTGGAAAATTGCGCATGCGCAGTTTCAACTATATAAAGGCATAGGCAACCCGCTTTTACATATAAATACGACGGAGACCACCCTCTACTCCGCAAACTTGGTGAAACGACCCCGCACGATGCGTCACTTTCCACCCCCTTTTCGACGCGGTCAATCATCCCCGTGGGACGGCCGACTTCTTTTTCTCTTTATGCCAATATCCACCTTATATACACTTGCTGCTGCACTATAACCACCATGACTCGTCCACATTTCATGGAATCATTATTTTAATTTTTATTTTTACTTTTATTGTTATATTGCACCATTTGTCATTTTTTTAACCCAAAAAATTTTTAAATACTTTCCACATTTTTTTACCCTGCAGACAAAACACTTTTCCGATAACTTAAACTGACCCCACTAATTTAACATGAAACTGAAATTTTAAAAATTCTAACCTTCAAAGAATCTCAGCCTGAAAATTTAAAAAAAATCGATTTCTTATGCTTAACCCTTTTGTGCCTGCAGGACATATATGTCCCACTTGGAAAAATGTATGTTAATAAATTTAAATTAAAATTAAAATTTTTTAAATTCTAATCTTCGAAGAACCTTACCCTAAAATTAAAAAAAAAATCGATTTCTTTTACTTAACCCCTTCGTGTCCCTCCGGGACATATATGTCCCACTTGGAAAAATGTATGTTAATAAATTTAAATTTAATTAAAATTTTCCAAAATTCTATAACCTTCGAAGAATCTCACCCTGAAATTTAAAAAAATCGATTTCTATTTCTTAACCCTTTCGTGTCCCTCCGGAACATACATGACCCACTTAGAAAAATGTACGTTAATAAATATTTTAAATTTAAATTATAATGAAAATTTTAAAAATTCTAACCTTTAAAGAATCTCACCCTGAAATTTAAAAAAAATCGATTTCTTTTGCTCAACCCTTTCGTGTCCCTCCGGGACATACATGTCCCACTTAGAAAAATGTACGTTAATAAATTTAAAATTTAAATTAGAATTAAAATTTTTTAAATTTTAACCTTCAAAGAATCTCACCCTGAAATTTTAGAAAAATCAAATTCTTTTGCCTAAACCCTTTCGTGTCCCTCCGGGACATATATATGTCCCACTTAGAAAAATTTACGTTATTCTTATAAAAGTCAATCAAAAAGTATTTAAAATCAAATTCCAGTGAAAAACATAAGAGAATTTTTCAATTAAAGAAAAATTATTTTCTATTTAAATTCGACCAAAGGGAATAAAAGCTTTTTAATTAATGATGTAAATTTTAACTATTGACGAACGTTTATTTTAGGACAACATTATTTCAACTCGGAATTCAGACAGAGAGAGAGAGAAATGAGATAATAAAACTCGTTCAATCAATTATGAAAATTACATCTACAGATAATTATTCTTTATTCGGAGAAAATTATTTCTATGTTATTTCTGAGATGTTAGAATATTTCCACACAGTGAATAATAAAAATTTCACAGAAATAATAAATTATATATGTAAATTCAAAGAAGTTAAAAGCCTTTCAATTATTTAAAAATACATTAAATTTTAAGTGTAAAAAATTATCAGCTCTTTTATGTGTCTATTTTCATTGAACAATCGATAAGCAATTTTTCATATACGTTCAAAATATATTTTTTTTTGCAATAAATCAAATTTGAATAAATCACATCTGACATTTTTTCCGTTCAAATTTAAATAATTAAATAAATATTAAGATCTGAATGCAAAAAAAATCTGTTTAAAAAAGCATTTTTAGAAAACAAAAGGCATTTAAAAAATGGATTTATAAGAACTTTGAAGCTTTATCGCTCTTCATTAGGTTGCAAAAATATTGCCTCTACTTGATAATAATAGTTTTTTCTTCTTTAAATAAAAAAGAGATAAAAAAAACTTACATTCCAGCAATTCCATTCGGTTGAATTTCCTGTAGAAATATTCCAAGTTCTCCCTTATCTTTACTTCGCAGACCAACAACACTAAATCCTAGGCTCATTCCTTCGGATTTAAACAGCTATAAAAATTTTACATATTAAGCAAAAAGTAATTTAAAGAATTTTTTAAAAACTTAAAAAAAATAATAAAAATCATAATAATTTAGATATTTTTTCAAAAATTCAAAACTTCATAAAAATAATTCTTCTTTCAAATATTTTGAAAATTATATTTTGAAAAAAGTCATTCTGTAATTATCTGTAAAATGTAATTATTTTCGAAAAATTTTATTAAAAATCTTCGAAAGAATTCAATTTTATCAATTATCAATTATTTTTAATAATTTTGGCAAAAGTTCCTTGAGAATTTTCATTATTCAGAAATTCTTCATTTTAATATTTAGAAAATAAAAACTTAAAATAATTGAATAAAACATTTTCAAAAAAAAAAAAAATTAATTAACTACAGAATTATTTCCAAAAATTAACGCTATAATGATTTTGATATTCAGTCATAATCTAAAATTTTAAATGAAATTAATTTCTAAATAAATTTTTATTAGAAAATTCTACTAGAATTCAATTATTTAAATACAAATAAAATGCAAATAAAAATAAGTAATTTATTGAATAATTGAATGTTTCTAAAAATTGAATTCTCATAAAGAATTAAATTTCATTTTATGAACAAATAATTATATTTTTAATAAAATTTTCAAGAATAATTAAATTTTTCGAGGAATTCGATTAAAATTGTATTAAAAATAATAGAAATTCTACGATGAGTTTAGATTGTTATTTACATATTATTATAAATAGTAACTACCTATAAATAATAAATATTAACAAATAATAACAAAATTGTAATACTAAACAAGTAACAATAATAAACAATAATAAATTGTAATAATAAATATTAGTAAATAATAATAAATTGTAATAATAAATAGATAAATTTAGCTTCTATAATAAATCCATTATCTTATCAACAAATTTTTTAAACAATTGAATTCTTGTGAAGAATTTTATTAAAATTTTCCTAAATAATTAAATTCCTGTGAAAAATTCGAAGGAATTCAATTGTTTTCAAAATTTTTTTTTAAAATTTCTTTGCATAAATTAAAAACAACAAAATAACAAAATTCTTTGCAAATCTTGAATTATAATTTTAATTGAATTCCTTGATCTGTGGCAACCGTTATATATTTTTAAATAGTACCTTCAAATTGGAGCAATTAATCTAATTGAATTAAAACTAATTAGTAAGTAATCAAATTAAAGTACCAGGACTTGAAATTTGAAATAATTAACCTTGAGCCATTTAGTTATAATACTTATTACCCCATTGTTACTAATTGATAAATTTTACGGTAAATAATAATTTTCAAAAATTCGCAGTAATTGATCTACTCGCAATAATTGAAGCTCTTAACCTGAATAAAAATAATAATTAATAAAGATGAGTAGTAAAAACTTAAATATTTACTGATCTTACCTGAACCGTAAAAGTTTGACGACCCTTCGCTGCAGATTCAATTACTTTACGGAATTCCTTCGCGTACGAAGGAGTTGTAATGTGGGGCATGCCACCGACATCTGATATTAAACTTGGACTCGTCACCTATTTAAAAAAAAAATTTTAAGAAAATATCTTTTTTATTTCTGTTTTTAATTTCTAATAATTTTTAAAATTAAAGTTTTAAATTTTTAGAATTTTTTTTAAAGTAACATATTCTACCTGAGCACTGGTGTCCTCACTGCTACTGTGTACGAGTGGAGCGACAGGAACACGCTGATCGTCAAACTCATTTGCATCCTGATAAAGTTCTTGAAATATATTTTGACCAACTGGTTGTAATGGTGTATTGGGTACAGAAAATTCCAATTGTCCACCGAGATGAATATCAAAATCACCGGGCAAAATTGACGGATGTTGTCCAAGTTGGGTGTTCAATTCAGTGAGGGAATCCTGCAGGGTGATGATACTTCGAAAAACGGGATCCTGAAGAAGTGCAATCAACGAACGAATATCCTGATTCGTGTGCATTTGCAGTTTTGGATCGTCGCAATCCTCCAGACGCTCCTCCACATGCTCCAGCAAATGGAGAGCAGTGGACATGTCTTGAACAATAAATAGTCAATAAAATCTCGTCTCAATAATTTTTCATAAAAATCTTATAATTATAAATAATAATTTCTTAGTTCTATCCAAAATTAATTATATCCCTTTTGGGGCGCATGATAATTCCCCAAATTTCAATTTCTATTTTCAAAATTCTTTTTCAGAAAATCGAAATTCTCATTTCACATAATTTTCATATTTCGAAATACCATTGAACATAATTTTTAATTACTCGAATTATTCTTTATCCTAATATTTAAATAATAAAATTATCCTTTGACATTATTTTTAATATATCGAAAAATTTATGATTTATTTATAATAATGATATTAACTTCAAATTAATTCTCAATTTCTGAAATATTAAATTTTCTTTTCTCTTTTCTAACCTTGGCCTTGAATCAGCTGGGCCTTTTTCATATCTTTGTGTATCTTAGTTCATTTGTACTCAGTTAACCTTATTTTGAATTAAAAAATAATTATTATTAATTAATATATATATATATATATATATATATATATATATATATATATATATATATATATATATATATATATATATATATATATATATATATATATATATATATATATATATATTATTATTAATTATTATTATTAATTTAACGAAATTATATTTCGTATTGTCAAAATTATATTCTCCATTTCCTATTTCTGTTAAATAATTATTTTATCATTTATAATTCACTTTTATTTGAATATTTTTTTTATAATTTTAATTTTGTGTATCTTAGTACATTTTGTACTTTGTATTTTGTACTCAGTTAACCTTATTTTGAATTCCTTATACTTTGAATTTAACGAAATTATATTTCTCATTGTCAAAATTATATTCAGAGTTATTGTTATTCCGAATGGAAGACGTCTTTTTTCTAAAGCAGAATTTATTACCTGTATTTAACGCCATTGCTGTTCTTTAACAGCTTCCTGGAAAAATTTAATTTTCCTGCCTGTAAAAAATATTTACGTTACTTTGGGATAACATATTCGTTTTTGAGACGAATTCAGGTTGAGTCCACAATAGACAGCGTTAAGGAGATTGAGCTACTTAAGACCATCGATAATCTACTTAAGACCATTGATATCAATGGTGTTAAGTAGCTCAATCTCCTTAACGCTGTCTATTGTGGACTCAACCTCAAAGGTCAGAAGATCTGATCCTTTTTGAATTTAGAATCATTTCATACGATTTATCAAAATTATCCAAGTCAGTAATTTTATTTAAACTATTTTTTTCTTCTTTTCTTAAATAAGAAACATTTTCGGCAAATAAATGTTTACTAAGGTAAAATTTAGAATCATTTCATACGATTTATCAAAATTATCCAAATCAGTAATTTTATTCAAACTATTTTCTCTTTTTTTTAAAGAAAAACACTTTCGAAAAATAAATGTTTACTAAAATAATATTTCGTCGAAAAGTTTTCTTTTCCCTTTGCACTGTAAATATTTAAATACTTAAAAGCTTTAAAAGTCTTAAACTCTTAAATAAAGGAACAAACATTTTAAACATAACCTCCAAGTGTGTTAATTTTAAAATAGGTTATTTTAAATTGAATTTATTTTCAGGTCAAGTTACGTAATAAGAACGAATCGATTTAAAAAAATACTAAAAATTACAGTCTACCTTTAAAACTTGATAAATTGAAAAAAGAAGAAATAGAAAAAAATGGTGATTAACATTATCAGTTTTCTTACGTCAAAAAACGATGCGTGAAATTCCAAAAGAAGAAACAAGTTAAACAGAACAATTATCCCCCAATGTTTTATAACCTACGAGGCTTAAACACCGTTTTATTTATGCAATGAAACATCCACTATTGATTAATAAACAATTCTACTCGATTTATTTGTTTTTTTTCTCACTTCAATGCTTACAATTGAAAACTTTTATTTTGACAGAATGCACAAGTTTAGAGAAATTTCTGACAGTTCTCTCATCTGACAAGTGTTGTCAGCTGAATTTGCCCTGCAGCGACAACTGGTAGAATTTACGCGAATTAGGTATGTACATTTTTTTTTCGGTTGAAATTCTCTGCTGATAACAAAGAAGAAACTAGGGAATTTAATAAGTTTCCCTAGATCCCCAGTTAAAAATTTAACTAGGGAATTAAATAAATTTCCCTAATTAAAATCTTAACTAGGGAATTAAATAAGTTTCCCTAGTTAAAAATTTGACTAGGGAATTTAATTTAATTTCAAGTTGGCTGCATTGTTTTCTCACACTTCGAAACATAACCTAAAAACCGCTTTCCTAACCTAAACATCAAAACTCTTCTAAAATGTTTAAATTCTCAACATTTTACAAAAGTTTTATTATCAATTAAAAACAAGTTCCCAACAACATTCCTTTTTAATATAAGGAAGAAAAAAAAATGTTTTTTCTACGATTCACGCGAATTCCAACCGGTATTCGATCATGTCTACTCCAAAATCGAAAACAAAATAGTGCAGCACAAATTGCACCTGCATCAGAGAAGGAATTAATAAATCATGTAGCTGACGATGTGGAATATCCAGAAATTCTCGATTTATCATATCCTGCGAGGCATATAAGAAATTATGAGAAAATCGGTGAATTTATAAAGAGGCAAAAAACAGTTGAAGAAAAAGCAATTGCAATTAATATGCCGAGATATTATGGTTTTACTGTTGTTAAAATGTTTGAGCACATTGTTCATTATAATTCATTGGAGCAGACACAATTTTTAACGAGAACACATATTATGCCAACAAATGGTTTACCATCATTTTATAATGATTTAATAAGTACCGAGGAATTGGATAAAATTGTTGGCAATATTAGAAGTCAAATTGAAGATGTTTTAGTTCTTGAGTATGCGAAAAGAAAGTAAGTTCTACTTTTTATTACTTCAAATTCTAATTTAAATTCAAATTTCAAATTCTTAAAATTCTAATTAATTGGAGAAAAGTATATTATTAATTCTACGCAAAATAAATTCTACACATTAGAATTAAATAGAACAAAATATTTCATTAAAATCTTTTAATTCTAAGGGATTAAATACAACATCTAAAAATACTACAGAGATTATTTTAACTAAAAAAAATTCTAAGAATAATTTTTTTATAATCAATTTTTTAATCCTTTATGCAGTTAAATAAACACAATACTAAATTCAAAGTATATTTTACTAATTTACAATAAAATTTACTTTTATTATAAAAATTTCTTCTGGAAATAACGATTTTCAATAGCAAAATTTTCAATTTTTTATCTATTATGAAAATTTATTTAAATTTTCCTCGAACATTACGGACTTTGCACTTGATAATTAATTTTAAAAAAGTAACTTTCAAACTAAAAAAAGGAGTAAAAAAAGTAGCTATCGGAAAATTAAATTTGATGACCAAAAAAACTCGTTTTAGACACTTCACAAAATTGACAAAAATTCCATTCTATTTTTTATTTTCCCGACTTTTTTCCTAATTTTCATCAAAAATATTTACTTCTTTCTTATTCTACTGCTAATAAATTAAATTCCTTCAACGAATTTTATTATTCATGAAAGAATTTAAATAATTTAATTCTTGCGAAGAATTTTAGAAAAATTTTTGGTAAAATAATTCATTTCTTTCGACTAATTTTATGCAAATTCTAATTTAAATAATTGAATTCCTGAGAAATTTTTATTATTCATAAAAAAAATTATATTCTTACATAGATTTTATTAGAATTTTATAAATAATTAAATTTCCAAGAAGAAATTTATTATTTTTAAAAATAATTGAATTCTTGTAATGAATATTGTGATTTATAAAAATAATTGAATTTTGCAAAGAATTTTATTAAAATGCCTCAAAAAATTGAATTTTCGGGAATAATTTTGTTATTTATCTTTAATAATTGAATTCTTTCCAAGAATTATTTATGTAAATAATTGAATTCTTAAGAAGAGTTTTATTAAAATCTTAAAGAATAAGAGAATTATTTTTAACAAATTTAATTAAAATTGTATTTAAAATAATTGAATAGTTGCTAAGAATTTTATTAAAATTTTCAAAAATAATTGAATTCCTGAAAAGATTTTTATTATTTATGAAAATAATTGAATTATTGCGGAAAAATTTTAATAAAATATCTTAAAAAGAATTTAATTTCTCTGAAAATTTTTGTTACTTTTGAAAATAATTGAATTCTTCATAAGAATTTTATAAACATTGTTTTAAATAATTAATTTTTTTGAAATATAATAAATATATGAAAATTTTATTTTATATAATTGAATTCTTATGAAAAACTTTATTTGTAAAAATAATTGAATTTTTCGAATAATCAATATTTAAAATAGTATTAAAAATAATTGAAATTCTTCGATGAGTTTTATTATTTATGAAAATAATTGAATTCTTGCTTACAATTTTATCAAAAAATTTTGTTAAATAATTGAATTTCCATGAAAAATGTTATTGTTAATGAAAGTAATTGAATTATTGTATAAAAATTTTGTTAAATAATTGAATTCTTTTGCAAAATTTTATTAAAATTCGTTCATAGAATTCAATTATTTGAAAATTTGTTGATAACGATTATTTATGGGAATTGAATTTTAAGAAACATTCAATTATTCAATAAATTATTTATTTGCATTTTATTTTTATTTAAATAAATGAAGATATTAAAAAATAATATTAAATAAATATTTTAAAAAATAAATATTTATTTGTAGCATCAAAAAAGAATTACCAGCAGACGTTGTATCAGATCAGGAGGAACTTCAAAAAATACAAACAAAAGCAATTATTCGTCAAATAAATAGAATTCTATTTATCGAATTATCCAGGAAATATCCACATTTACTGGAAACGGAAGTTGACATTGATCCACGTCTCGAGGCTTTCTGGACTGTTGGTGGAATGGATCCTCCAAAATCAATAGTGTATAAAAAGCGAAAATCACGTTTACTAAAAGACTATGCCGAGGATCCAATCGATCGTTATTTTCAGTATTTTGGTGAGCCCTGTCTTCAATTGCGACACGCTCTACCTCTAAGAGAAATGATTCCTCATTCAGAAACGGAAAATCCAGATTACATTGTTCCTGAATATAAATACGATCCTTTAACTGTTGGCTATCAACAAGGTATAAGACACGGGACAAATATTCCCGGTTTTTGGCCTGGTGATAAAAATGAATTTGGTCTTTTGTCCTATCATCATTGTAATTATATGACAAATAGGCCGAGAGATTATGATGATGAGGAAATTGCATTGAAAACACAAGCGATTAGAGCTTGTTATGCATGGCTTCATACGCAGGCCAATTATCAAGGTAAAATTCAAAATTTTAATTTTAAATTTCCTTTAAAATCGGTAAAAAAAACGATATTTTTGTGTGAATAACACGAATATTTCATTTAACATATTTTTGAATTATTTTCAAATGAAATTTTAATCAAATTCCTTGAAAAATGTAATTATTCTTAAAAATTGTATTAAAAATTCGTTGATAGATTTGAATTATTTGAAAATTTGTTGATAACGATTCTTTATGGGAATTGAGTTTTAAGAAATCTGATAGATGAATTTTTTTTTGTTTTAGGCTTCTCAACCTATAATGATGTGACTTATCCGCTATTGACCCAAAATGTGATCCTTAACGGACAATGGTGGTTCTTTAGTGTCTATCAATTGAACACGACTTTGTTCAGCAATCATCACATAGACGATAATCCGAAGAGAAATCTCTATTGGACAACTGGTCCAATGCAGTTATTCGAAAAAATCGAGGACAATAAAGTACATGGTCTAAATGATGAGGTGTTGAAGAATTTAATAAAAATGTACATAAATGAACCACAACAGCGAGACGTCGAAATGAAACCCTATTTAGGTTTGGACGAAAAAGTTGTCGCCGATATTCAAGATGATGAAAAAAGAAAATGGCTCGAGGAACTGTACAAGAAAATCATGTCTTGCAGAGGGAGATACCTGTAAGACTTTAATTACATTTTTAGAATTATTAATAATCTTTAACGTTCTTTGATATTAAATTAATGGCAATTTTATTTTAGAACTATGCCGGAAATCTTCCATTGGCAGGAAATCTACATGAGAAAATTTAAACAAAGACCAATGGAAAAGAAATTACAACCTTGGCAAAACCGTATAAATATTTTGCTACGAAAAATGGACGACCATCCACCCAGATATCTTCCAAAGGCTTTAAGACCCCATCCGAGGAGTAAAGCTAAATTTCAAAAAACTTTCTATCCACAGTAATTGTTTGGTACGTATTGAGGTGAATTTAAAATATTCGAATAACAATTGTGTAAATAAGTGATTATTAGATTTTTTTTTTTGCAAAAATGTCATTTAATAAATAAATTATCTAAATAATTGTGGATTATTTACAGAATTTTTCGGTGAACCGAAATTTCATTTTGACCCCTTTTTAAAAATATAAATATAAATTACAAATGATTGCAGAAATTCAATTAATTTCAAAAGTAATAAAATTCTTCGCAGAAATTCAATTGTGTTCAAAAATTTAAAAACAAAAATTATCGTCAAAATTTCAATTATCTTTAAAAATAATTAAATTCTTCTCTGAAATTCAATTATTTTCATAAAATTTAATAAAATTCTTGGCAAAATTTCAATTATCTTTAGAAATAATTAAATTCTTCTCTGAAATTCGATTATTTTAAGTAAATTTTAATAAAATTCTTGGCAAAATTTTAATTATTTTCAAAAGTAGTTTTCAATTTTCCCCAATTGAATGATTTTTAATCCATATCTACTATTTTAATGGAATTTTCCAAAAGAATTCAATTATTTAAAAAAAAATTGTAATAAAATTCTACGCAAACCTTTAATTATTTTCATAAAATAATGAAAATTTTACAGGAATTCAATTATTTACAAATTTTTTATAAATATTTTCGCAATAATTCAATTATTCTTTTCATAAATAATCAATTTTTTTTACAGGGATTCATTTATTTTCGTAAATAATAAAATTTCTTTTAGAAATTCAATTATTTTCATAAATAATAAAATTTTAACAGGGGATTCAATTTTTTTTCTTTAGGGATTCAATTATTTCCACAAATAATAAAACTCATCGCAGAATTTCAATTATTTATTTTTAATACAATTTTAATCGAATTTCTCAAAAAAATGTCATTATTATTAAAATTTTTATTAAAATTCGTCGAAAGAATTTAATTATTTAAAAATTTGTTCATAAAATTCTTTATGGGAATTGAATTTTAAGAATCATTCAATTATTCAGTAAAATATTTATCCAATTATATTTTCCAATTTTATATTTGTTACAAAACATTTTCCTCACGTTTCTGTAATTTATAAGGAGATTTTAAATAGAATAGATAAATTTTTAATATATGTAATAAATTTTAGTTATTAATATAGAAAGTCGCAAAATTTGATTTTTATTTGAATTTTATCGTTTGAATATGATTGTGTTAAGAGAAAACCCTTTGATAGAAAAATTGATGACTCCTTCATTTTCATCGGTTATTCCAACATTGTAGGTTAAACGATTTCTGAAAAAAAAACAAAGAGCGTAAAAGTAAAGATAATAAATTAATGAGTGAAAAGTAGAACAGAGTGAAATGCGAAATTTTATTTAAATTTTATTACCAGAGAAAATTACTATTTGACTTTTAAATATTGAATAAAGTGCAGTTTATTATGAATATTATGAATATTACAAACTGCATTATTATCATACATATTATATTACCGTATGCAAAAATAGAAGCATTTTTCCTAATTCTGAAAATTAAAAATTTTAAGGGACTCCGAAGAAAATATTTTAATTTTCGGTCCAAGTCGAATTCTTTTTTATAAATTTCGAATTTTAAGTTTGTATTATGCTTTTGATAACTAGTAAATTCAAGAAGCTGAAGAAAAATCGACTGGGGCCCGAAGCATCCAGAATTTTAGTAGTATTTCCGGTTGGGGTCCATTTATAAGAATTCATCATTTTTGGTTTTTTGAAATTGTTCGTAATTTTTAACTTACTTATTATAAACCACGACAACCGTCTCATCCTGTGGTGTTTCAAAAGCAAGAACTTGAATAGCATCATACAAAGGCTGAAAATTAATTTCCGTGTGAATTCTCACTGATCCAGGAGGTACGAAACGACTAAAATGTTGAATAATATAGTACAAAGGAAGTTTGAAGAACTGATCATTTTTCGCGTCGACTATTATTGAAGGAGCGTATTTATATTTTGAAAGATTCGGTCCTCCGTCTTTATTCAAGACTGGATTCAAATTTATCCAACCAGCAACCGAGTGTTGAAGGAACTAAAAAGTAAATAAATGTTTACGTGCGATCAAGTTATAGAAAACAAAGGTTCAATTGGTAATTATTTTTGTACCGCAAACATTTCCAGAATATAGTTAATCGACTGATCCCAACAACCGAAGCAGGTTTTCTTTCTGAAAACTATAAATTTCTTTTTATGTTCAAGATTCTCTCTTAGATAAGTTTTACAAAACTAGAAGACTTACGCTCAGAGGCCTCTGTCATTAGGATATATTTATTAGGATACTTTTTATGAATTTTGTCCAGAACCTTCTTCCTTGTAATTGTAGTATAATGATAGTGAACCGCAGTTCCACCAACGAAAGGTTCGGCAAGTTTATTTTTCATTATTTTCCTCACATACCAAGATATTGAATAATCAAGAGAATCATCAAAGATTAGTATTCGAGTTCCATTATGTGAAGATTCATTTATAGATGGACCTAAGTTTTGACCAATAAATTTTGCTGCTTTAGCTGGAGACCATGCCATTGTCATTTGATGACTCAATGGATTTAACGCATTTTGCGGATCATTGCCTATTGAGAGACCCCAAAATTCCATACCGAATTTACTGTATTCATCCAGAAATTTTATCAAATAGTTACTAAAAGTCTGGTAGTGTTTTGGCTTCAAAAAACCTTGAATAAATGAAATTCCTATAAGTTTAATATTTAATTCGCTGGCTTTCTTTTATAACTTACCAAATCCTGAAAAAGATTCCGTAATTTTCATCCATTTTGGTGCGGTCCAAGGAACTGCTATCAACTTTAGATTTGGATTTAATAACGCCGACTTCTGCAGGAGGGGAATTTTGTAATACAGATCCTCATCGGCAAGTGCGAAATGCTTCAGGGTGACATCATCATTAACATCGTCGAGAGTGTATTTTCGAGTTGAAAAATCTGTCCCTCCAATCGGCACTCGACCGAAACTGTATCTACTGCCTTTTTCTCCAAAATAAGAACTACAAGAAAAAGTAACTCAAAAATGATTATGAGTTCGACAATTCAAATTTTCCTTGACTTAGAATTCGAAGTCACCCAAAAATTTTGGGGTATTTGCTAAAAATTATCAAATAAAAAAAAATCCTAATATCTTACTGAATTAAATTGTCCTGAGTAGGAAGACTAACACTTTGAATATTAATAGCAGCAGAATCAGTGATTGTTGCTCCAAAACCTAAAATTGTTTGATGCTTCTTTCCACGAACTAGGGATATGATAGAACCGTTCGTCTTCAATTTGTCCATGTAGCCTTTTTTGTACCTCATTCGTTCGCCAGATTCATCACTCGCATACCAATGAAAAGTTAACTCTTCAGGAGGTCCTTGTTCTTCCATAAAGTCACAATACGTCGAATTGCAGATACAACCGTTCCCATTGTGTCCCAAACTACGAGATATACACTCCTCGGAATTACCTGTTTGAATAGTTATTTTTTCAAAATCTACATTATTTATTTTATAGGCAAAAATTACACACCTGCTGTTATACATGTGAAAATCACTAGTATCCACAGCATCATCTATTCTTAACTTATCAAAAAATTGAATTTGTTACTTATTTCCAGCTATATGTAATAGTAGAACGCGAGATAAGAATTTTTACAAAAAATGGGTTTTTCGCGAAAGGACAAAGTCATTAGTAAAGGTGATATATTGCAGAAATGTGAAAATTATCTACAAAAAATGTTGTCCAATTATCCGTATTAACCTTAGAGATAAGAAACATAGTTTCAACAAAGACAAAATTTTCTGAGTGCGATTTTAGACAATTTTTTCATTTATTCATTTAGGAAATTTTTAGCAAAAAGTAATGTCAAAATTTACTATTTTTCAATTATCTAAAGGGGTAACACTATCAGAACTTTTAAATCTTCGTTCATAACTTTCCATTCTACTAATTGTTTTGCCTTTTGAATAGTTTTATTTTCTCCATAATGTTGCCCTACATCTATGAATTCTTTAACTCGATCTTCAAAATATTTTAACCAGTTTTCTTTATTGAATGGGGGTAAATTTTTTTAGTATCGTCTTCCATAATTTTTCTTGAGCATTAGGTTTTATTGTAACGTTTCCAATTTCTTTATTCCTTTTCCAATTTTCGAAGTATTGTGTCATGTTCCCTCTATGGTTATTCTCCTTCTTAATAATCTTGAACTAGGATCTTTTACATTATGTAACCAAAGTAGTATTTTATGATCGTCCAGCTCCCGCAACACAATCTTATTATTTGTTAATTAATTATTTATTACAATTTTGTTAATAACAAGGCATTTCCATGAAAAACGTCCATGCGTCACTATTATTAAATAGGCTGTATCTTTTTTTCTAATTATTATTAAAATAAATATTTTTTAATTATGATGTATTAAGAAATATAGAAAATTGTCCAATTTTAATTTCAATTTTACAGCATAATGTATCAAAGATATACTATTTTTAATGTCGTGATGCACGGACAACTTTTTTCACTTCTGATCACTTATGATATTTTATATATATTTTTTTATTGTTTTGTCACTTTTCACTTTTTATCATCCCATATATTAAGAATATTATTAAGAATGATGAATAGTATTTAAGAAAAAAAAACACGTGTTCTTCACTTTGTAATCTGTAATATTCTGTAATACTCTGTAATATTCATCATGTAATGGTCATGTATCAGATGGTCATGTGGAATAGGAAGTAATAAGACGGGGATATACATAGTATTTTTTTATTCAAATTTTGATTTTCTTTATCTTAAACAATTAAATCTAATTAAATGTAGGTATTACATTCTAATTTCTGGTAAAGCAATATTATTTCAGTCGCATATGTGTGACAATTACACATCGTCGAATTGTCCACTAATTATTTTGAGCCAAATAGACAATTGTATTTATCGAAAGCGGCGCTAATTGAAGATTTATAATTCCATTTTCCGCATCAAGAAGATCAACTTCTTTATAATTTTCACTCCTAGGGGAAGAAATTTTCATATCATGACTGAAAAATCATTCTATGATGATATCATCGTAGAATGATTTTTCAGTTATTAAAAGATTGTATATTGTCACTTCTTTACCTGTTGTGAATTATCACAACGGTTTCATTCTTTGGTGTGTGAAAGGCCACCGATCGAAGTGGATGAAACATTATTGAACTGTCCTTGCTTCCAATTCGAATGGATCCACGTGGCAAAAATCTGCTAAAATGATGAAGAGCATAGTACATTGGTTGCTTGAAAAATTCATCACTCTCTGGATTCACTATAATTGGAGAATCGACATTATTATTAATCCAAGTTGGCCCACCGGTTTTATCAAGAGCCAAATTCCAATCAACCCACCCAGTTGACCAGTGTTGTAGATTCTGTTATAAGAAGAGGATGTCAAAAGTTAGGAGAATGCCGTATTTTAATTTTTCAAAATTTCATTACCTCGATTATTTGTGTCACGTAGGATTGAGCTCTTTCCCAGTTTCCTAATCTAACCTTTGGATTTTGCCATGGAAAAGAACCTTAAACGAGATAAATTTAATCTTCTGCTGATGTTAACGACCCTTAGTGTCCAAAATCGTCATTTTGAACACTAAGGGTCGTTAGCATCAGCAGAGGGTTAAAACGACTTAAGTAGTTCCCTTCCCTTTCAGATTTTTAGCTTCTCTGACACTAACCTTCACAGGATTCCGTTATCATCATAAACTTGTCTGGAAAGTGATTATGGGTCATGTCTAAGACAGCGGCTGGAACAAGAGCATCCCAATACCAGTGGATACCAATGCCACTGATGTACTTCTCGGCGAGATTGTTTTTGAAAATTAAATCAACAGACCATGGTAGGGAGTACCTTTGGTCATCAACAGTGATGATGATAGTTTGATTATGTGGCGAATTGGCTAAAGACGGTCCTAAATTATTTGCCACCCAATTTGCAATACCACTCGTTGTCCAACCCATTCCGTTGATGCGACTTAGAGGATAATAAGCATTAGAAGGTTCATTACCAGTTGAAAGAGCCCACATTTCTAGGCCCTCTCTTTTGTATTCGTCCATAAACCTTAGCAAGTAATCCGTGTACAGTTGGTAGTATTCTTTTTTTAGAAAACCTATGAAGATTTGTGTATTTTACGACTATGAGTTAATTGAGGTTCCTGATCTTAAAAGGGGACATATATCATATTTAGAATCAGTGCTACATGTACCCTTTTAAGATCTGAACCCTCAATTGTACTATTTAGGCCTATACGGACGAAAATCCATAACCGGTTTTCGAAACAATTTTCTTAAGTCGGTTTTCGGTTTTAATCGGTTAAATTTTTATGTTCAAATTTTAAATTATGCTTTGTGGGTTTACTAGTATAAAGTGTTCCAAACTTACCAAAACCGGTGTAATAGTCATTCGTTTTCATCCAAGTAGGCGCGGTCCAAGTAGCTGCCAAGAATTTCAATTCTGGATTTATTCTCAAAGCCCTCTGCATCAATGGAACTTTGTAGCTCATATCTTCGGGGGCGAGGCTAAAATTCCTTAAAAGCGTATCTTCTTTAAAATCATCGTATGTGTAAAATCTTGTTGAAAAGTCAGTTCCCCCAACTGGAACGCGTCCAATGTTGTATCTGTTTCCCTCCTTGGCAAAGTATGTACTGGAAGAAATTCAATTTTTTCGATAGTTCGATCTAAATTATATCAATTTAGTGTTTAACTACACTTTTTGCGAGAAGTAGTAGATTTCTTACTTGAATAATTGTTCTTGAGTAGCCTCGCTGAGATTTCGAATGTTAATTCCTGCCGCGTCTGTAAAGGCACCGCCAAATCCTTTTATATCCTGATACTTCGATTTATGATCAATGGTGATGGTTCTCGACGAGGAGGAGCGGTTGCTTATTCTCCCCACTGTTAATTCCATTCTCTGGCCGGATTTCGTCGACGAGTACCAGAGAAATCTTCCAGGTTCGACATTAGTTTCCGGAGTGGAATCACAATATGTGGAATTGCAAACACATACAATGCTGCTATCTCCAAAATGACGAGGGATGCAAACATTGCCAGCTATGAATATATGAAAATGTTTTAAATCCCCGATGGAGAAAATTTCTAAAATTAGTCTATTGTTCTAAACGAAACACATTACTCCTTGTAGTTCTAATTTTGTTAGAGTTCTAAATTAAAAAGTAGATTCCAAATTTTTGAATAATTTAAAAATTTTCTAGTTTCAATATTTATACATTTTAAAAGTTTATATTTTTACAATATAAATGCAAATAATGACGATTTTTCTAATGAAAGATAATTTACCTGCTATCGTAAATAAAGCGAAGAAAGCTGGTACAAGCATTTTGGTGATGTTTTCAATTTCGAATAACTTTTACTCCTGCGAATCGTTGAGGAGGCAAAAAATGTAAAACTGCAACAATTTAAATATATTATATCGAATATAATTTAAATACATAAGCATTTGTCCATGACTATGTAGGGTACTCTGACGTTTGTCACAGATAAGAATTTATGATAAATATATAATCAGCAAAATTTTAATTTATTTCCAAATTTTTTGAGAAAGTGTTTATCGAAACAAAACAAAAAAAACCTTTTAGACCGGTATAAAATTAATTAGGTCTGAAATAATTATTTCATATTATAAAAAAAAGAAAAATTTTAATATTTAATTAAACTAAGCCGAAAATTTTTTAATGAAATGATGCATTTGTTTTGGTTACGTAACTTAAATATCAAAAAAGGAAGATAATAAGATAAGATATATGTTTTAAAAAAAGAAAATTGCAAGTGATATGAAAAAAAAAGTTTGTGAATACAGTTGAATATTATGAAATTAAAATTATGTCTCGCTCAATTCATATTTTATTAATTTTAATAATAAATAGGGTAAGGATTCCTAGTCAGTATTAATATTATTCCTAGTATTATTCCCTTATAATAGGATCCCATATGCGGAAAATTAGATTGGTTCCTAGGGAAACCCACATGGGATCCTATAAGTTCCTATAATTCCCATATATAGAAGCCTTTAAGTTCTTATCGTACCCCATACGCCATATTGGATCCGCCATTTTGAATTTTAAAAATCTGATGCTAAATTCGTAATCAGCGACCTAGAAAACCCCCGAATATTGAGTTTCAATCGAATCCGATCAATTTCAAACTTTTTCTTCCACCATATTGAATCCGCCATTTTGAATTTTGAAAATCTGATGTCGAATTCGTAATCAGTGACCGCGAAAACCCCTGGGTAAAAAATTTTATCCGATTCTAAACAGTTTTTAATTTATCTGTTCCGCCATTTTGAATTTTAAAAATCTGATGTCAAATTCATAATCAGCGACCACTAAAACCCCTTAGTAACTATTTTTGTTCTTTATTTTGCAATTTTTTCAAGCCATGCCCTCTGAGATTTATTTATATGTGTAAAAATAGAGTTATAATTACAATAAAAATCCCACATTTTTCGCATCCATAATAAAAATTACACCGAAAAAGTGTAAATCGATAGTTTCATAGACAAATCCTTGATTTTAATGATTATTCCTCAAATTTCAATTTCATAATTTTCAAAACGTCGAAATGTCATTTCAGATAATTTTCATATTTCGAAATACCATTGAACATAATTTTTAATTATTCGCATTATTATTATATAACCTTGACCTTGAATCAGCTGGGCCTTTTTCATATCTTTGTGTAACTTAGTAAATTATTGTACTCAGTTAACCTTATTTTGAATTCCTTAAACTCTGAATTTAACGAAATTATATTTCTTATTGTCAAAATTATATTCTCCATTTCCTATTTCTGTTAAATAATTATTTTATCATTTATAATTTACTTTTATTTGAATACTTTTTTATAATTTTAATTTTGACTATTGAAATACCATTTCACTATATAACCTAAAATTCATTCACAGTAAATTATTTTTAAATGCAAAATTATTCATTGTCCCATACAATAAATTTCTACAATGATTTTATTGAATTGTCATTCTCCAATTAAAATTAAGGTTATATTTACAAAAATACGCACATGGCGTATAAAACCTCAGAATGACATCTTCAGTGTTATTCACATCACTGAAAAATCTAGTTAAATGAATTAAATAAAAAAAAATGTAGGAAATAACTTAAGTGGTAAATTACCGATGGAAACAAACAAGCATCAATTGACAAGAAAGTCACTAATTTATCGAGCAAGAATTTATTGAATGTTGAAAATATAGCGAGATAAGAACTATATCTGCATTAGCGACAGTCGACGACTAGTGATATACATATATAGATATATGTATAATATCATAGCGTTCATTCATTTCCGCGATCGGAAGATTCACGTTTCGGAATATAAAAGCTCGTAATTTATTGTCGTACGGTTAAATTCGGGCACAAAAGATTGTAGTGTCAAGTAAATAAGGATTATATTTTAAATACCTTTTCTATCAATTTGGAATTTCTCTTGTTTTCACGGCATGGCACCGGATTTTATTTTAGATATACCCAGATTTAGAGTCGCCATCATTGTTCTCATACTCAAGATACAATACGGGTGAAAATCTAGGGAAATTACTTGAAATCACCAATTTTTTCCTATTGATTTCGAGTAATTTCTCTAGATTTCCGCCAAGATTGCTTTTATTAAGAAATATTATCCGACAAAATAAGTGCTGTAAGTAAAATTACTAAACTTATAAATCTATGATAAATGTCAAATTAAAATTAATTTTTTTTTTTCAAAAATTAATTGTGTCAATTCACAAAGTCATTAGCAAAGCAGGATTTTTGGTGAACAATTGTTTCTAAGAATTTTCGAGATGGTAAATTCCCTAGGAAGCCATATTTGTATTGATGCGGAAATAACTTTTTTAAAAAAGAAAAAAGTGTCTTAAAAAAATTCCCGCCGGCTTAAACTTTCGGTTAAAGTACCACCATTATTTGTTCTAGTGAATTTTGTCAGTATTCAGTTATTCACCCCGGAAAATCCAAATGAAAATACTAGAGAATTTGTGAAAATTTAATTTTACGTTGGCAGTAATTTATTTTTATAGTTTAAAGATAATTTCACACACCGGTGACTAAAAATCGGCTTTAAATTTATTTTTTCAGGTATATGCAGGATTTAAAGGATTGAAAAACAAAAACTGTGCTGATATGGATTAATAATTTTCGCGAAGGAATCGATTCATCCAAGTAAGGATTTTATTATCTTCTATTTGAAAACTATTCTTTCGATTAATTTGGTTTTTGCATTTATTTATGAGCAAAATCTAACCTATGAGAAGAAAATTTTCGGTTTTTTGCTCATAAAAAAAATATTTTTTTTTTCAATATTTCCCGCGAAAAATTTAAAGAGCAGGATTAGAAGAAAAATAGAATTATCGTTATTTACCACGATTTACATCAATGGAATTTTATTCATTCAGTTGTAGATCGTTATTGATGACGACAATTATATTTTTATGTTTGGCTAATGGCAATCAGTAAAGTAGAAATCTGCTTTTATATTTTAGATACGATCAATTTATTTTAATTTAAATATTTCATTTTTGTCTTCAATTAAAATTTTTTATATTCAGTAATAAGTAAATTAAAATTCTAATAAGGGAAATTTTAATTTTTAAAAAATGAGGATAATAATTTTTATCCCTTGATTTTAAAGGCGGTAATTTCAAATTAATTAAATTGGAACTTATATACTTTTATAAATAAAAAATGCCAATTAATATAATATATTACATTATAATTATTAAAATATATGATAATATAATATAATAATATTAATAATAATAATAATAATAATAATAATAATAATAATAATAATATAAATAATTATTTATTAATATCAATTAATATAATTATTTATATAATAATCTATTATTATTATTATTATTATTATTATTATTATTATTATTATTATTATTATTATTATTATTATTATTATTATATAATAAATAACTAATATTAATGACAATAATAGTATTAATAATAATAATAACAATAATATAATTTTTTTTTAAAACAAGTTTTCTTTTCTATAAAATGTATAATATTAATAACAAATCGAATAATATCGGACATTTGAAGGAAAAATAATTTTGTTGAAGGAAATTTTATTACTAGTCACCCTGAGTTTTTATTGGGTCTAGTTTCAGTTTCTAGTTTTTCCTATATAGTGCTCAACCGCACCCGGTCTTCCCTATGCATTGACTGAAATGTTTCCCTTTACTTCAAATACAAATATTTCTGCAGAAAATACATTTAAAACTATATTGAATGCGGATCACTTTTTTTGGATTTAATGTATTATTTTAAAAAGTAAAAAAACAATATATTATAATATATTTTATTATATCACATTATATTATAATATATTATAATATATTATAATATAATATATTATATTATATTATATTATATTATATTATATTATATTATATTATATTATATTATATTATATTATATTATATTATATTATATTATATTATATTATATATTATATTATATTATATTATATTATATTATATTATATTATATTATATTATATTATATTATATTATATTATATTATATTATATTATATTATATTATTCTTTCGAAAAATATATATTATATTTATATTTCATATTTTCATAATTTTTATAAATATTAAAATTTTAGAAAAAAAATTTAATTCTTTCGTGAAATTTTATTGAAAATAATTGAAACATGAAGATATCGATAACTCCGAGTCTCCGAGTCTTTGACTCGGAGTTATCGATTTCTTCAGGTTTTAGAATAATTAAAGATGACCGAGTGATAGAATCATTTACAATTGAATTATTATTTACATAGGTATTTTTAACTAAAATTCTACGATTGTTTTTTTAAATTTTCGAAAAAGTTCTTTGACAATTTTCAAATCCATTTCTTTACAATATTCAATTTTACGAAATTTCAATTATTCGTAAATTCTTCAATTAAATAAATATTAGAAAATAAAAACTTAAAATAATGTTTAAAAAAATTCAATTAAACTTTTTCAAAAAAATTAATTTCAAAATTTAATTATTTTTAAAAATTTACGTTATATAGCTTTCAATATTCAATTATTATCTAAAATTTTAACTGAAATTCATTTTTATGAAATGAAAATCAATTTTTATTAGAAAATTCTACTATGAATTCAATTATTTAAATACAAATAAAATGCAAATAAATAGTTTATTGAATAATTATGAATGATTCTTAAAATTCAATTCCCATAAAGAATCGTTATCAACAAATTTTCAAATAATTGAATTCTATCAACGAATTATAATAAAATTTTTAAGAATAATTATCCGTTTTTCGAGAAATTCAATTAAAATTGTATTAAAAATTAATAAAATAATTGAAATTCTGCGATAACTTTTATTATTTGTGAAAATAATTGAATCTTAAAGAAAAATTTGATTACTTTCGAACAATATTTAATTTTTGCGAATAATTAAAAATAAATAATAATAAAATAATTGAAATTTTTGAAAATAATTGAATTTTTGCAATAATTTCTAACTTTTACAAAAAGGAATTTTTTTCGTGTTTTCAACTAAACATATAAAAATTTTTAACCTTTTCAAAATTCAATTATTTCTAAAAATTTACGCTCTAATGCTTTTAAAATTCAATTATAATCTAAAATTTTTAATGAAATCCATTTTTAAATCAATATTTATAAGAAAATTTTACTAGAATTCAATTATTTAAATTTTTTCAAGGAATTCGATTAAAACATGTATTAAAAATAATTGAAATTCTACAATTAGTTTTATTATTTATGAAAATAATTGAATTTCAGAAAAGAATTTATTTATTTCTAAAGATAATTGAAATTTTGATGAGAATTTTTAATTAAATTTCTGCACTTATATTATTATTATTATTATTATTATTATTACAATTCTGTTATTTATTAATTACAATTTTTTATCATTTATTATTACAATTTGTTATTATTTTTTAATTATTATTTTTTATTACAATTTATTAATTATAATTTGTTATTACAATTTGCTAATTATTATTTTTTATTACAATTTGTTAATTATAATTTGTTATTACAATTTGTTATTGTTTGATAATTATTATTTGTTATTACAATTTGTTATTATTATACAACTAAACTATTAGTTTAAACAATAAATTAGAATCAATAATATTTAAATAATAATTATTATAATCATTAACATTATTATTATACATATTATTATTATTATTATTATTATTATTAACATTAAATTATAATTAATTACGTATATCTATTTTTCCCCTTATTTTTAATACATATCCACCTTGTTTTAAAAACCTCTGGAAATTTTAATATTTTCGCGAATTTTAACTTTCGCTTTCGTTTAAATACAAATATTATTTCTATTTCGTTTGTCTTTTTTTCCTTTTAAATGAAATTATGTAATTTCTGTAGATATATATATATTTGAGAAAAAAAATAGAGAAAGAAAAGTGTGTACACTAATCGGAAAGGTAGTAGCAAATAGCAGAAAATGGTTTATTTGAAATTGACATTTCCTTCTTTATCCCTTGGTGTTTATGAATGAACGGGAGGAATCCACTAGATTTCGCCGGTCGTTCAGTACTACTTTTTAGTAACTTTCAACTCTCGTCGGTGTCGTGTGTGTGCTCCTGAAATATTCTTTTTACCCACCGATTATATATACATATACATAATTAATATATATTTATAGTAACGACAAAAATTTTTACTCCTTAAAAATAATTTTTAATATCTTGTTAAAAACTTTAAAAAAAATGTTTTAAAAAAACTGTTTTAAAAAGCCGAAGATTAAGAAAATAGTCGAGTGTAGTTTTAATTGAGAGGAAAGAAAAAATGTTGTCGATACAAATTTTATAAACTGTGCGCGATGACATAAAGTAAAAAAAAAAAAATTGTGTGATATTGTTTCGATGAGAGGAAGATGATGATGATCGTGATCGTGATATGAAAAATGTGTGCACACCCCAGAAAATTCCCCAGAACTTCTCCACCCTGTTTGTCGAGGCGAAAAGCCCTTTATATCTCAAACGCAGCAGTCACAAAACCGTTTGAAACACAACCCTCGTGTAGTCGCGATTTCGCGAATTCCAGACATTGTTTACAGGAAAGAAAAGTCTTCGTCTCGTTTAGAGAGAAAACGGTGTTGTGTGCTCCCTCCCCTTCCACACAAGAAAAAAGTCGGCAACGATTCGTGAATATTGTGACTATTTATTTTAATGAAAAATAATGTAAACTCGTTTATTCCGCTTCCGGTACGTAAAAAAAAATCTCTCCTTCGCGTGAAAAAAAAGCTCCTCGTAGTAGTGAAAAAAAAAAATATTTATTGTTGAGAGAAGTAGTGTGTTACTCCCCATTTTCGTGTGAGCCATTTAATCCGTCATTGCAACGTCGCCCGATTCATTGAACCAGGAAAAATATATTTATAACCTCAAAAATATCAAGTGTTTTCTCTTTCATCTACCGGGAAATATTGTGATATTTTCGAAAATTGTGTTTTTTATAATCGAAAAAAGTGGGTGAATTTATTTTTTTTCGGGTAAAAAAAAAAGTGGAATTGTGGTTTTGAAAGAGGGGGGAGGAGGAGGAGGAGAAAGGGGGAAGAGAGAGAGAGAAGGAAAATCTAGTGTGTTGGTTCTTATACCAAATTCCCGGTGTCAACTACTACAGTATAACTACTCTCCTCGATGGGATCCGAATTCCTGACGTCAAAGAGCCAATATGGCGTCTACAATAAGCAGGTAACCCTAACCTCAAAACGTGAGTTTCATTTTGTTTTCTAATACCGACAGTTGGACTAACTTTGACCAGCGGAGATGCAAATTGACGAATTCTCATTGCACCAAGCATCCCATCGGCTAGTTCCTCTAAACGGAAACAAGTAAGTCTCTCCGAATTTCGGGTGTTAAACGCGTGTGTGATTCGCGACGCTTTTCAACGACGCTTTTCTCACATATATACAAAAAAAAAAAAAAGAAAAAAGTTTCTTCCTCTCTTCTCTCGAAAAAAAGTGATGAGGAGAGCCTAGAGAGAGAAATACACACACACACTTTGTGGACAACAAAAATTTTAATACACTCGTCGCGATTTTATTATAAGTCTTCGCTCACTAAAAGGGAGAGAAATTTTTTTTTTGTGTGTGTGTTCTTTCGGGAGAAAATTTTTCCGGGAAAGTATCGCGAATTTTTTTTTTTTTAGGTCCACGGGAAAAATTGATGAAAAGTGCAAAATTAATTTCTCTCTCTTTCTATCTCTCAGGAGGAAAAAATGATTTTTTAAAATCGAAATTCGAAATGAACGAAACGTAATTACGAATAGTTTTCGATTTCAGGAAACTTTGGGTACGTTTCAGATTGTTCTTTTTTTTCACAACTCCCTTTCTCTCTCTCTCTCTCTCTCTTTCTCTGTTTCTCTTTGCTTTATTCTCATAGCCAACTGAAATCGATTCAAAGGGATTTATTTTCCTTTGGAAAATTTGTATGTGTATTTTTTTTTGACGAGAGTGCAAAGTAACATTTTGGAAAAAGAAATTTTCTTTTTTTGATTTTTTTCGGTGTTTTCTCTCACTCGTAGGTGTAATCGTACACATATACAAGTCTCATGATATCGATTAAGTGTTAGGGTCAAGTTCCCGAATTTGCGAGAGAGAGAGACTCACTTACTGTCCGTATAACTTGATGTTTAGAATGTATATATTATTATTTGATCGATTTATTAAGTTGTATTAATAACCCATTTTGTTTCGTATGCCGATTTCTATATGTGTGTGTGTGTATGCAATTTATATGCATTGGAAAATTACATAAAGCAAAATCGATATTTTAATCATTTTTACCCTTTTTTTTCGGTGTCCGTCCATTTTTTATTTTTATTATTATTATTATTTATCTCCTGCGAAAAGTGTTTTGAAGTTTTTTTTAAATTCCTCTTCTTAACTTTATATGCAAGAAATTTGCAATTTTGTAAATTAATTATTGTTGGGAACAAACATTAATTTATAAAATTAAATAAATTTGATAAAATTGAATAAATTTGATAAAATTGAACAAATTTGATAAAATTGAATAAATTTTTAAAAATTAGATAAATTTAATAAACAGGCCTCGAATATTGTGTTTTTTTCGATTTTTTATCGACTTATATTCAAAAATTCCAACTTTTTCGACTTTTTTAGACTATTTTCAAATAATGCGACTTTTTATCGACTTATATATTAAAAAATTGCGACTTTTTCGACTTTACTTCAAAATTTTGCGACAAAATACTATTTAAAATTTTTTTTTAAATTGTACAAAAATTCTTCAATTATTTTCAAAAAATGTTTTAAACATTCTGAATTGTATGGAATTTGTAAAACTATTGTCATTCAAAAATTATTTAGAAATATTTTTAAATGGTTTTAATTTTACGAATTTCTTTATTAAAATTTTTGAAAATATTCTACCTTAATGTCCTCAAATAAAAAATTGATGGTTTCAATTATTATAAAAATCTGAATTTTTGTATTTAAATAATTGAATTATCGAAAATGATTCGGAAAATTATTAAAAATTAATATAGATAATTGCTTTGGAGGCGAAGTTTAGTTAAAAATTCTAGAAAATAATTGAATTTTTTGGAAGGGTTAGAGTTTTAATTTTTAGAAATTATTAAATTTCAGAATTTGAAATTTTTTAAATTAATTCTTTTTAAATATTTTCAATTTTAAAATTAATGTATTGAAAATCATCGAATTGTTGCAAAGAATTTTATTTAAAAAATTTTATAATAATAGAATTTCTTCGAAAAATTTTATTATTTAGGAAAAAAATTAAATTCTAGCGAAGAATTTTGTTAAAATTTTGGAAAATTCTATTTAAATTCTTTTTTAATATTTTTTTTTTTAATAATGGAGTTTCTTTAATAATTTTAATTAAAATTTTTAAACATAATTGAATTTTATGAACAATTCCTTTCAAGTTTTTTTTTAAATATTCGTGTTTGTTAAAAATTGAATTTTTTCGTGGAATTTTTTGAAAATAATTGATTTTGCAAAGAATTTTAATATTTATAAATATAATTGAATTGTTTCGAAGGATTTATTAAAATTTTAGAAAATAATTGAATTTTTTTGAAAAATATTTATAAAAATTGAATTTTTTCTATTCGTGAAATTGTTTTGAATACAATTGAATTTTTGATAAGAATTTTACTATTTATAAATATAATTGAATTATTCGAAGGATTTATTGAAATTTAAAAAAAATTTAAATTTTTGCAATGAATTTTGTACTATTTATAAATAAAATTGAATTGTTACGAGGGATTTATTAAAATTTTACAGAAAATAATTGAATTCTTTTGAAATATTTTATAACGAATTAAAAAAAAATTGAATACTTTCGTGAAATTATTTTAGAAAATAATTAAATTTTTGCAAAGATTTTATATAACGAATGAAGAAAAAAATTGAATTTCGTCGTGAAAAAAAGTTTCTTGAAAATAATTGAATTTTTGCAAAGATTTTAATATTTAAAAAAATTATTGAATTGCTTCGAAGGATTTTATAAAATATTTTATAAAATAACTCAAATGTTTTCGTCAAATTTTATTCAAACTTTTTTTTTTGATAATAATTGAATTTTTGCAAAAAATGTTTACTATTTAATTAAATAATTGAATTCTTACGAAGAATGTCATTATTTATGAAAATAATTAATTTATAAAATTGCAAATTTAATAAACTAATTTTTGTTATTAACAAAAATTAATTTAATTCATAAAATTACAAATTATTGAATTAAAATATTTCCAAAAAAGGAAAATTTTCGATCCAAATAATTGTTGAATTTTCATTATCTTTTTTTTTATTAAAAAGTATTATTTTGAATGTTAAAAAAATTAATTTTCAACTAAATAATTATTTAATTTACATTATTTTTTCTTTTTATTAAAAAATATTTTGTATTCAAAAAGAAAATTGATTCTCAAGTAAATAATTGTTGAATTTTCATTATTTTTTCACTCATTTCTTCATTTTATTCAAAAATATTATTTTGAATGTTGAAAAAAATTAATTTTCAATTGAAAATTTGAGTCAAATTCAGTTAAAAATTTAATTAAAAATTGAATTCATTGGCATCAAATATAAAATTTTTTTTAATTTGCATTTAAATTTCGAAATTTTAATTTAATTACAAAATTAGATGGAATTGAAAAATTAAATTGAAATTGAGTGGAAATTACGATTTAAATTTTTAAATTTTCATGGAAATTTAAAGTATATTTTGATTCAAAAGGAGTATATATTTTATGTACTATATTTTTTTCAATTGAATGAGAATTTATCAACATTTCATTTTACTTTATTTTCAGTCTTCTATCGTCTCGGAAGATTGAGATTGTCTTCCTTGATAAAGACAAACTTTGAAAAAATTATCAAATCAATTGAAATTATTTTCTTAAAACTTTACGTATTTGAAAACGAATGAAAACTATATTTTCAGGCTCATTTCAGTTTTCAAAGAAAAAAAGAAAATTTTTCATACATTTTTTGTAATAAAAAAAAACACCTCAAAAAAAATATATTAGACGCTGACACTCGACGCTAACTGTAGAGACTTTAAAAATTAATCATCGAAACGTAAAATTGATTAAATGGAGTTATTTTTAATTATTGAATTTTTGTTAAAATAATAATTATGCATTTAAATGAAAATCGATATGTAAAAGAAATATTAAGGAAAAATATTAACACAGAATTTCATTTAAATATTCCGTTGAAAGTTACACCCGATTAAAAATTTCTCTTAAAAATTCTCAATAGAAAAGTATATTTATACGTTCAAGAAAAAAAAGTCGGAGACTGAATAATATTTTTAAAAATTTCCAGTAAAAACAAATGCAACTTTACTCAAAACTTTTCCAAATTGTTGTCAAGTTTAAACTATTAGAGATGCTTCTAAATCTTAAAAAAATAAGGCCGAAATCGGCAGTGTTTTTAAATAATAAAGAGATATAAAATTAATAAATCAGATTTTTTTTTAATTGTTCTGAATATAAGTGTAAAACAACAAGCGAAATTTTAAAAAACGTGGATAGAAAGAGAGACGTACATTCTGAATATTATCTCGATATTATTTTGAAATTTTTATGAATTTAATGAAAAACCTACGTTCACTTTTGTATTCTCAGTTATTAGATATATTTGTAGTTCTATTTCGTTTATGTAAATCCGAATATAATATTTATTTACATATCGATAATGTAAATCTAAATAACGTGCAGATTCGTGGAAAATAAACTTTTGAAATTTCAATTGGCATGATGCAGAAATTTTATCAAATCAAAAAAGAAAGTATTTTTTGTCATTAAACTTCAACGCTGACTTTGAAAAAGAATTTAAATTACTATTATTCTTGAATTTTTTAGGGCCCTGAACATATTTCTTTGGAATAATTTGATGTGGAATTGTTTATTATAAAGAATATTTGTATTTTTGATTGAAAATATTAAATTGAAAGAAGGTTAAATGCACCAGTAACCGTTGCCTTAAGTTATTTTATAAATTTGAATTTTATTTTAGAAGTAAAAAATAGTAATTAGAAGAATTATGGATCAAATTATGGATTGGAAAGTCGATGCGATTTTAAGAACTTGATTGGTGCATTGAACCTTGAAGAGATAATGACGAGAATTTACTGATTATTGTGTTTTTTGGCAGATGGACAATGACGGCTGACTGGTAACCGGCGGACTCTCTCGCGGTGGCGCTGGCGTCAGGATGGAGCACCTCCAGGCCGCCCTGGACCCCAGGAAGCAGGAACTATTGGAGGCCCGCTTGCTCGGAGCTCGGCCGTCTGTAGGGTCACAGATCCAGACGGGACCCCAGTCCTCGGTAAACTCTGGTCAGTCCGTACACAGTTCAGACTCTAACATGAGCACCGGCTCAAATCACAGTGATAAAGAAATAGATCCCAATACTCCCGAGAAAGTTCCACGGACCCCATCGGAGCGCAAGAGGAGACGCAAGGTCGATGACTCTGGCGGCGGTTCCGCCTCGACGAAACTCTCACGACCAATGATTGCAATCGATAAGAAAATCAACGACTACTTTCCTAAGCCCTTAATTTCACCTCAACCGTCGCCCCTCGCCGAATTCTCCCTAATGCAGCCGCCTCGATCTCACATTCAACTGCCCCCCCTGCCGCCCGGCAACATGGTCCACAAGCAAATGCAAACCGAGCTCACTTGCCAACTCATCCAGGAACTCGAGACACAAGCCTCCTCCGATCTCGAGCTCCACAACAATAAAATTGACGAGCTCAATCGAGCCGCCGAGGAACTCAAACACCAAGTGGCTAGTCAGAAGAAAGTCATCGAGGAGCAAAAGTTGCATATTAATAAGTGTATAGAAGTCGTCAAGAAGCTTCTCCAGGAGAAGTCGAATATCGAGAAGAAGGAGGCGAGGCAGAAGTGTATGCAGAACAGACTGAGGCTCGGGCAGTTCGTCACACAGAGGGTAGGGGCGACGTTTCAGGAGAACTGGACCGACGGCTACGCCTTTCAGGAGCTCGCGCGACGCCAGGAGGAAATCACCACCGAGCGGGAGGAAATCGACCGACAGAAGAAGTCCCTCCTCAAGAAGAGGCCCTCAAACTCGGAGACGGGGCGAAAGAGAAACCAGGCCCAGTCGGCCCTTCACAACGGCACCGAGGCGACATTCCTCAAGCCCGACGCGGTCCCCGGCTCCTACACCTGGCAAGAGTACTACGTCGCCGACGAAATCCTCAAACTCAGGCAGAACGCCCTCAAAAAAGAGGACGCCGACCTCCAACTCGAAATGGAGAAACTCGAGCGCGAACGCAATCTACACATTCGTGAGCTCAAGCGAATTCACAATGAGGACCAATCGAGGTTCAATTCCCATCCTGTCCTCAACGAGCGCTACCTCCTCCTCATGCTCCTAGGCAAGGGCGGCTTCAGCGAAGTCCACAAGGCCTTCGATCTCAAGGAGCAACGCTACGTCGCCTGCAAAGTGCACCAACTCAACAAAGACTGGAAGGAGGACAAGAAGGCCAATTACATAAAGCACGCCCTTCGGGAGTACAATATTCACAAGGCCCTCGATCATCCCCGCGTTGTCAAACTCTACGACGTCTTTGAGATTGACGCCAATTCCTTTTGCACCGTTCTCGAGTACTGCGACGGTCACGATCTCGACTTTTACCTCAAGCAGCACAAGACAATTCCCGAGAGGGAGGCCCGCTCGATCGTAATGCAGGTCGTCTCTGCCCTCAAGTACCTCAACGAAATCAAACCACCCGTCATTCACTACGACCTCAAACCCGGCAACATTCTCCTCACCGAGGGCAACGTCTGCGGCGAAATCAAAATCACCGACTTCGGCCTCAGCAAAGTCATGGACGAGGAGAATTACAATCCCGATCATGGGATGGACCTCACATCCCAAGGCGCCGGCACCTACTGGTACCTACCGCCCGAATGCTTCGTCGTCGGCAAGAATCCACCAAAAATATCATCAAAAGTCGACGTCTGGTCGGTCGGTGTGATATTCTACCAGTGTCTCTATGGGAAAAAACCCTTCGGTCATAATCAGAGTCAAGCGACAATTCTCGAGGAGAACACAATCCTAAAGGCGACCGAGGTGCAATTCGCGAACAAACCAACGGTCAGCAATGAGGCCAAGGGCTTTATTCGAAGTTGTCTCGCCTATCGAAAAGAGGAAAGAATTGACGTTCTCACATTGGCGCGACAAGAATATTTACAACCCCCAACACCGAAACACGGCCGGCAGGCTAATAGTCAACAACAGCAGCAACAACAACTCCAGCAGCAGCAGCAACAACAACAATTACAACAACAACAACAGACTTCATTCACCACTGGTATGTTCAGCGGGATGAACGCCTCAAGTAGTTCGTAGTGAAAATTACGATCCAGGGCCAATGAGAGAGAAAGATAGAGAACACTGGAACTGATATACATATATATATAAATAAATAAATAAATATTACTTGAAAAAAAACTGATTAAACTCAATAAAAAAACAAATAATTTCAAGAAACAGTGAATGACATTGTGTAAAAATGGAATTCATGATATTGTGTAAAAAAAAAAATTGTATGTTTTACATGTTTTATTGCAGAACATGAGAGAACGCAAGAGAGCGAGAGAGAGAGAGAAAGAGAGAAAGAGAGCGAGAGAGAAAGAGAGAGAGAGAATGATAAATGCTTGGTGTAATGAATGATTTAAATATGAAAACAAAAAAACAAAAAAAAAACCTTGCAAATATTATCGTGTCACTTTACGTCGTCTGCTTTAGGTAAAGGATAATGATATTCATTAAAGGTATTTTACTTGTTGTAGGAATGAAATATTTATGAAAAACTGGGCGGAAAACACTATTGTAAAAATTAATAAACGACGCATTAATAGATTATCACGTTTTTTACTTTTTCTTTTTTAGAAATGTGGCGAATTTAAACTATAAAAAAAAACAAAGCAGGTGGGGATTTTTTTTTCATTTTCATTTTGCTGAACTGTGATTGGAGAGAGCGTTTCGTTTCCGAAAAAAAAGTGGGGGTTTTTTTTTTTCGAGAAAGAAAATCGATTTTTTTTTAAATTGTAAATTTTTACGATCGAGTTGTGATTTTAATTGGAAATGGTAAAAAAAAATTTTACAGGAGTGGTTTTTTTAATGTAAAAAATTACTACAACTTTTCGAAATCAATGCGATTTCTCCTCTTCGGGGAGTTTAGAAAATAATACAGAAAATGAAAATACAGAAAACGAAAATAAAAATACAGAAAAAAATGCAGAAAACAAAAATAAAAACACAGAAAAGAAGAAATAAAAATACGAAAAACACTAAGACGATAAATAATAATTTAGAAACATTAAACAATAAATAAAATAATAATAATAATAATACAGAAACCAATAACCATGATAGTTAAGAATACACGAAGAGTATAAATAATAATTTAAAAAAAAAAACATCAAATGAGTAATAAATAAAAATACAGAAATAATGTAAACTGAGGATAAAACAGAATTATACTATTTGTTTACAATTGTTTACAGTTAATTTAATTAAAGTTTTTACTGTTGGGCTTTGTTGTAAATAAATAAAAAAAAAATTAAATTAAATTAAAATGAATGTAAAAATGAAAACAAAAGTAAAAAAGAAACAAGAAAACATATCTTACCGATAAATAAAAAAAAGTTTTACAATGTCGAAGGAATTAAAATTTAGCCAAAAATTAAAGTCTAACGTTTGTTGTTAGTAACTGAAATGTTAAAATACTAAATTACTAAAATTTAATGAAAATAGAAAAATTGATTTAATATAGATAATTAAATTAAATATGTAATAAAATTAAAAAAATATAATAAAAAATAAATCATTTAAATATTCAATAAAAATTGTAAGGAAATAAAAACAAAATTTAAAATAAAATTAAGAAAAATAGAAAAAAATGAATAATTTAAAAATTCAATAAAAATTTGTAAGGAAATAAAAACAAAATTGAAAATAAAATTTAAAAAAACAGAAAAAAATAGAACAATTTTTTACAATATTTATATAGATAAAATAAAAATGAATAATAAAATAAATAAATAAGTTACTAACTTCAATTTTTGGTTAAAAATAAATTCCTTCGACATTGTAAAACTTTTTTATTTATTGATAAGATATGTTTTCTTGTTTCTTTTTTACTTCTTTCTTTTTATTTTTATATTCATTTTAATTTTAATATTGTATTAGGGAAGAATCTAAAAGAATTTAATTAGATTAGTAATTTAAAAGAAAAAGAAAAATTTTTAATTCGTCTCGGTTGAAAGACGAAGAATTTGTAATTTTGAATATTTAAAACGATTGAAAGTTGCATTTGAATAAAAATTACAATTTTCTGGCAATAAGAAACATTTGTTAAAGGTTAAGGTTATGTTACTTAAATCATTTATTTTTATTAATAAAAAATTATAACTTTTATTCACATGTAACTTTAATATGTTCAAAATGTAGAAAAATAAATTCCTTATGCTTCTACCAAAAGGAATTTAAAATTTAATTTGCATTTTTTTTTTCTAAAATACGAAATTATAACATTTGACTAACTTTTGTTCTGATTGTTTGTCTGATTCTTCCTTCAAGTTAATTCTGTGTAATCCTGAGTTTACATTATTTCTGTATTTTTATTTATTACTTATTATTTGATGTTTTTTTAAAATTATTATTTAAAGTCTTTGTTACTTATTATTTAATGTTTTTTTTAAATATTATTTAAAATCTTCGTGTATTCTTAACTATTGGTTTCTGTATTATTATTATTATTTTATTTATTGTTTAATGTTTTTAAATTATTATTTAACGTCTTAGTTTTTTTCGTATTTTTATTTTTTCTATTCTGTATTTTTATTTTTGTTTTCTGTAATTTTTATTTTCTGTATTATTTTTTAGACTATTTTTTAGACTGAAGAGGAAATCGTATTGATTTCGAAACGTTGGAGTAATTTTTTTATATTAAAAAAACCACTTGTCCGAATGTATTCGTGTAAAAAATTTTTTACCTACTATTCCAGATTAAATTCGTGTCTTTTTTCATCAAAATTATGATGAAAAGTTTATTCGACGAAAATTCTTTTGAAACACTAAAAAAAATTCCACAAAATTATTTTTCTCCCAAGAAATTCAAGGGTCAAAATTTATTTTGACTCATTTTATTTTTTATACGAAAAAAAAATTGATAGATTTTTGAAAAATATGCTCAAATTTGGTAGAAAATGTTTTTGTATCCACAAAAAAAATTGCCGAACCGAATGAAAAAGATTTTTATTTTTACGAGCAGTTTTTTAAAAAAAAATAACTTCATTTGTTTATTTTTCTAGTTTTAAATCGAATTGTATAATTTATATTTGACCTAAAAGTAGTGAAAATCAAATTTTTTATTAGGCAATTTGTAAAAAAAGATTTAGTAAAAAAGAAGATGTAGTAAAAAAAGATTTACTACAAAAATTGAACCATATTTTTCAAAATCTATCAATTTTTTGTGTAAATTATAAAAATAAAACGCGTCAAAATATTTTTACCTTCTCCTTAAAATTTACTAAATTTTTCCGAATTTATATTTAAAAATTTCTACAATTTATTTTCGATGAAAGAAAATTTCTAAATTTTAAATTTAGAAAAATTTCGATATAATTTCAAAAAAAATCGAATCCCCCTCCCCTCCAACAAAATAGACTTTTAATAAATTTTCTTTTTGTTGTTGTTGTTGCTTTGTTTTCTATAAAATTTGACCTGCTTTTCAAATTAATGATGCTAAATATAAATTTGACAAAAAAGGAAGGTTCAATTTCTTTATCAATCAAATGAAGACTTGAAATTTAAAAATTTCTTATTTTTTTCAATAGTATGCTAAATATTATTATTTGTAAAAAAAAGGGAAATAAAAGCTCATAAATTGTAATAAAATATTTTAAGAATTTTTCTCTAAGTATTCTTTTGTAAAATAAAATTCGATATTCTTTTCTTAAGAAACAAAAACGAATATTTGAGGACTTTAGAAAAAAAAAGAAAATTATTACAATAAATAAATAAAAAAGAAATTCTTTATGAAAATAAAGAAGAATTTCTTTTTTATTTATTTATTAATTTTTGTAATAATTTTTCATATTTTTTTTTTATGAAATATGACTAAATTTTTGGTAATTTACAAAGAAAAAAAACAAATTTTCATAAATTGAAAAATGATTTTAAATTAAATCTGTGAATTTTGTGAATAAACTTTCTTGAAAATTTTCGTAATCGAAAATTTTTTTCATACACTTTTTACTCAAAAACGAAGAAATTAAATTTGCCAGTAACTGTAAAATAAATAAAAATGCATTTTTTACTCGTTTCTTTAAAAGTTGTGTTTTCTCTCGTAAAAAAAATAAGTATACGTTATTTTTAAATTGAGTGCAAATTTTGTATTATTTACAAAGGAAAATAGCAAAAATCAATAAATTACGACGTGAAATGGGTTATATTTTAAAAAATAACTTTTAAAAACTATATCGAGGATTTTTAAACTCGAAATAAAAATTGAAATTAATATTACGAATTTTTATTAATATTTTTTTAAATGAAAATAAAATTATCAAAAATGTTAAGAATATTAATATTTTTAAGAATATTGAAAATTTTCTAAATATTAAAAATACTTTGTGAATAAGAAAAAAAAAATAGAAATCGTCTCACTTTTATATAAGCGAGAGAAAAATGAAAAAATGACATCCTTGAAAAAAGTGGCAAAAATTTAAACGATAAAGATGAAAATGTAAAAACTGAAAAATTTAACTTCGATTTTGAGAAAAAAATAAATTTTGAATAAGAATGATTAATAAAATTAATTATTTTCTTTTTAAGAAACAAAAAAAATAATTTCTCAATAATAAAGAAATGGATTCAGTTAAAATTAATAAAAAGTCTTCAAGTGGTTAATTTAGAAAATTGATGGATTTTTCATTTCAATTGAAAATTAAAAATAAGTGTGAAATTTTTTTTTACGATTTTCCATTATTTGCGTAAAATGAAAATTTGATCAAAATGTGAGCATTGAATTTAGTAAAAAATTTATTTTAGAAAAAAAAAATTTTAATTGTAACATTAAAAAGAGTATTGAAAGTGATGAAAATAAATTTTGAAAATTGCATTTTTGCGAATAGTATTTTTTTGTAGCTTTTTAAAATTATTGTTTTATATAAAATATTTATTTTTTTTTTAGTAGAAAGCGTCTTTTTTTTAATTCTTTCTAAGTAGAAAAATAATTGAATTGAAATTAATAATTTAATATAAATAACTAAAGAAATAAACAATTGTTTATTAAATTTATTAAATTGAAAAATTTAAAACTTGAAAAAAGAAAAAATTGTCTTTCATGTAAAGTGAAAATAATTGTAATTCACTTCGACTGGTTTTTTTTTAATTGTAATTTGTGTTTGTATTTAAAATTCAATAATTATTTTGTTTAAAAACAAATAATGTTTTGAAATTGTTATTTTTTTCGACAAAAAAGTAGGTTATACTCCAAATAATCAAAAATTTTATATGAATAATAACAAAAATACCAAAAATACTTTGATATTTGTTTTTTATTGAAAACTTAATTAAGTTAATTTAAATTTAATTGAAAAATAATAAATTTTTATTTGAATTTCCGTTCTTTCACTTAAAAGTTTACAAAATTACGAAGAAAAAAAATTTAATTTTTATATTTATAAAATATAAATTCATTGAAATATTAAAGAAGGTCATAATTATTCTCAAAAAAGCAATTTTTTTATAATCTCATCACTAATTTTGTTTTTAATGTATTAAATTCGTAAATTAATAAATAAATTCCGGGTTTTTTTATTAAACAAATATTATAACAAATATTTAAATTCAAAT